CTGGATAAGACTTGCTTGAGGTGGACTAAGATGTCGACATTTGCTCGGGGGGAGAGGCTTGAGACCAGGATCGACTCCTCAACTTAGTCGACAGCAAGGAACGTCCCTTAAGTCATTTCTGAGAAATGCCCAGTAAGTGGTCGACTACCTTAAATAGGGTCATCCTTGATAAAAGGGCTGACCGGCACCGCCTTTCATGTCGATTTAAGAGTGTCGGCTTGTCCGACTAAGTAAAACATCGTCTTATCTTAGCTTAATAACCGCCTTTTGGGTCGATATAAAGATGTCGACTCATCTGGCATGTCAAGGTCTTTTGTATCGGCTAGTATCGCCTCTTTTGTCGACACCAGAGTGCCGGCTTTATGAGTCGGTGGGGCCGAGACCTCTGCAATTATGCCTTGGGTTTATACTTTGGTAAAGTACCAAGGTCTTGTAATCTAGCCATGATGGTCGAGTTGTACTGGAGGATTCGACCATATGTGGTGTCTTGGGCTTACCTTGTTAAAGAGCCGAGGGCTTGATACTCGACTGAGGAGTTGATGTGCCTTGGGCTTATCTTGATAAAGAGCCAATGTCTTGATACTCGACTTAGAAGTCAAAATGCCTAGAACTCTTAGGAGTTGACTATGATTCTTATCGTATCATTTTGTGAATATTGTATCTTGAGTGAGCGAATACCATAACAACTATAATATAAAAACAAGGTAATATAGTCCATGTTTTTAATTTTTTATCAAAAGTCGTGGGCCCCACCGAAGAAAATTTAAGATATGGGCCCCGCATGTATAGTAAAATATTATTATTTTATTAGTGCATAGTATTTTCCAAATGCTATAAATAGACCCCAAATTCTTAAGAAAAATTCATTCCAAAAACAACAATCAATATATACAGATATGTATTGTAGAATAGTTAGTGCTCGTAGGAACAGTGCCTAGACCGAAAAGGTCTGATAGATCGAGGAGATCTTTGCCTTATAGATCGAGAAGATCTTGACAGTACTGGGTCAGTGCACACCAGAATACTGGACTGCTATTCCTGAAAGCAATTTGGCCTTGGGATCCTTGCATCGGAGTAGGCTAAATAATGCTTTAAGCACAACGTTTTACAAACGCACAGCAGCTGGGTTAGAAAATTTTAAATTATTGTACTTCAGCTTTCTTTTAGTTTTTTTTGTTATATATCTGTATTATTCCAGATTTAACCACATGCACCAACAATAAAGATAACTCCTGTAGAAGTGATCATCACCTTCATCGACGACCATTCTCGTTTCTGTCACATTTACCTGTTGAAATCTAAAGATGAAGCCTTCAACAAATTTGTTGAGTTTCGAACTCGAGTAGAGAAGCAGCTTGGATTGCATGTGAAAAGACTCAGGAGCGACAGAGGAGGAGAATACCGATCTAAGGAATCGAAAGCATACTTCAATGAGCATGGAATCATTGCAGAAACTACTGCTCCGTATTCTCCGCAATCTAAAGAGATTGCAGAAAGAAAGAATCGCACATTGACCGAAATGGTGAATTCGATGCTAATCACATCTGGTCTACCTACCTGCTATTGGGGAGAGGCTTTGCTAATGGCAAACTGGATTCTGAACAGAGTATCATATTCCAAAACTGATAGTACTCCTCATTTGTTATGGTTGGGATATCCAGATTTTTTGGATAGTCTCAAAGTGTGGGGGTGTCTTGCATATGTTCGAATTCCAGATATCAGAAGGCCTAAGCTCGGACCAAAGGTAAACAGATGTGTGTTTCTTGGTTTTGCTGGAGATAGCAATGCGTGCAAGTTCCTAGACCTTGGAACCAACTCCATCATTGAAGCTCGGGATGCAGAATTCTTTGAGGATAAGTTTATCAAACATAAAGGTTTATTGCTCAAAGATGTAGTAGAGAATGCTAATACATCAAATGCACAAGAGGAGCCAGTCAATGATGAAGGAGTTATCGAACCATCTTCCAAGCGCTTCAGAAGACAGAAAGATTTTGGAGATGACTTCATCACCTATAATGTGGAAGGAGATCCACAGACTTTTTAAGAAGCAATACAGTCAGCAGACGTTCTTCTGTGAAAAGAAGCTATAGATGATGAGATGGATTCATTGATCGAAAATCACACTTGGGAGCTGGTGGATGTGCCTAAAGGTGTAAGGCCTATCAATTACAAGTGGATCTTCAAAAAGAATCTTCGTCCTGATGGTACTATTGAAAAGTACAAAGCAAGACTGGTGATGAAAGGATTCTCTCAGAAAGAAGGTATAGATTTCTTTGATATCTATAAACCAGTTTGCAGAATCACTACCATCAGAGTACTTATCACATGGACGGTAATTAAAAGGTTCGTTATATATCAGATGGATGTGAAGACTGCCTTTCTCAATGGAGATCTCACAGAAGAGATCTACATGGAGAAAAAGACTGCCTTTCTCAATGGAGATCTCACAGAAGAGATCTACATGGAGAAACCAGAAGGACTTGATGCTCTAGCTGGTAAGGTTTGTAAACCAGAAGGACTTGATGCTCTAGCTGGTAAGGTTTGTAAACTTGTTAAGTCTTTATATGGACTTAAGCAGGCACCAATACTCTTGCATGAGAAGTTCGATGGGGTTGTTCGCAATAATGGGTATCAAGTCAGTGAATCTGACAAGTGCCTATACATCAAGGTCGCTAAAAGAAAGATGGTGGTCATCTGCCTCTATATGGATGATATGCTCATCATTGGGAGTGATTTGGAGATAGTAATATTTACCAAGAAATTTCTTTCAGCACAGTTCAGCATGAAGGAACTTGGAACTACGGACGTAATTCTTGGAATCAATATCATATACTTTGAAGAGGGTATTGGATTGTCTCAATCTCATTATGTCGAGAGCATGCTAAGGAAGTATGGCTACAATGACTTGGCAGTACTATCAGTGCCATACAATTACAACAAGAAGCTCCGACCGAACACTGGAAGACCAGTAGAGCAGCTAAGGTACTCAAAGATCATTGGGAGTCTTATGTACGCGATGAGCTGCACAAGGCTAGATATAGCATTCGTTATAGGAATGCTTAGTAGGTTCACAAGTAATCCTAGAAAGCTTCATTGGGATGCTGTCCAGAGATTGATGAGATATTTAAAAGGAACTACAGGTATGGACCTATTCTATACTGGATATCCAGCTGTAATCGAAGGCTATTCAGATGCGAGCTGGTGCTCAGAACCAGATGAGTGCAGATCTACTGGAGGATTTGTCTTCACTATGGGTGGAGCTGCCGTCTCTTGGAAGTCTAAGAAGCAGACCATGATTGCACAGTCATCGATGGAATCTGAGTTCTCCGCACTCTGTGCTGCAGAAGATGAAGCTGAATGGCTCAGTTGTTTTCTCCGAGACCTTCCATTAACGGAATTGTAAGGCACAATTACTATCTATAGTGATAATCAAGCGACGAGTGTTGTGGCAGCGAACTCGTTGTTCAATGGAAAGAAACGGATCATTCGTTTGAAGCATAACTATTTAAGAGAGCTCATTTGTCAAGGAGTCATCTCTGTGATTGACGTCCGGTCTTCAGAGAATGTGGCTGATTATTTGACTAAGGGTCTGAAAAAGGACATAGTCGAAAGAACGAATGCTGAAATGGGTCTCAAAGTTTTGTAAGTCTTACAAATATTTACTATGTTTATTAAATTATTAGTTCAAAGCTTATGCTACTAATAGTAAGATAATTAGTTCAAAAGTTAAGTAAGATTTACAAAAGTTGGTAGTCTTACAAATACTTACAATTTACATCTAGTTATTAGTTCAAAGCTTATGCTACTAATGACGAGATAAATGGTTCAAAAGTTAAGTAAGATTTATAAGTGAAAGGGTTCAAGTTTTCTTGGATTAGTCGATGTCTAAGGCAAGGTTTGGGGGTTGCGTAACGCGCTCTGCAAGGAACGAGGTACTTAATTAATCTTTGATCAACCTCTAATACTATCCTTACCTGGCTGAACTACCCGAGTAAAACTTTGATCTTTTCACCTAGAATTCTATCATGTAAAGGGGATGGCTGTTAAGCCTTAATGGGTCCAAAGCATTTTGGATGCGGGGTATTAGATAGGAAACACACCTAAAGGACTCACCTAGAATCCTATAATGAGAGAGGATGGCTCTTAAGCCTTAATGAGTTCAAAACATTTCGGATGCGGGATGTTTGATAGGAAACATACCTAAAGAACTCACCTATGCATGAGTGGAGATTTGACCGTCTCCTATGATGTCTTGTGGAAAGATACATAGAGCCCTAGCAGAAATCAGGACATGTACATGGCCATAAATGTGCAAAGATAAAGGCAAGGCAAAGGCAAAGGAAAGTGTGGTTCAAAGTGAAAACTATCACAGATAAGTTTGATCTTGTGTGATCGTTGGATTTTTAGACATGTGCTGGTTCAAGTCTCTGCGACACCATGCACCTATCTTTTATTCAGTTGGTCTAAATAGGATTCAAGTCCTTGCGACATCTTTCTTATGCACAACGATTGAAACAACGGCACCGTTACAAGACACTAGTTTTTAAAAAAAATTGTAGGGGATTGTTGAATATTTTTAATATTCCTCACACGGGCTGCTGATTGAAGAGCAGCCCATGTTTTTAATTTTTTGTCAAAAGTCGTGGGCCCCACCGAAGAAAATTTAAGACTTGGACCCGCATGCATAGTAAAATATTATTATTTTATTAGTACATAGTGTTTTTCCAAACGTTATAAATAGACCCTAAATCCTTAAAGAAAATTCATTCCAAAAACAACAATCAATATATACAGATATATATTGTAGAATGACTATAAAATTAAAACTCTAGTGAAGAATACAAATACATATACCAAAGTAAAAGTCATGATAGAAACATGCAACGTCAAATGCATAAAAAATTTAATAAAATACAACGTCTAACGCGTAAATTACTTCCTAGACACATCTTAATAGAAGTAACAAATAACATACCAAAAAAAAAAAACAAATAACATACCGTTGCTGTTCCAGTTCCAAGAAAGAGGCGGGACGACTTTGTGCCTACGCTCCTCAAAGAGGTTTTCTAATCTTTTCGCGTCTTCGAACGATTTCATGTTGTCGGAGTCGGTGATGAGCAGCTCAAGAGGGGGCAGCGAGGAGAGTTTTGAGAGAAAGACGTGCGGGGGAGGTTTGTTGTTGCGAACATTGGCATACCAGTACTGGATTGCGGCAGCCTTGGGGGTGACTGGTGAAGGGACAGCTAGTCCTGACTCGATGTTATTAGCACAGTGAGAAGAGAGAGGGGAGAGAGTGAAGAAGAGGAGAAGGGGGACGACTAAGGCTAAAGGAAAAGTAGCCATATATTGCTCTTCTACTTCTGCGCTTTGCTTGCCGTGCTTACTTGCGGAGACGAGGGCTCCATTTATAGATGAATGCAGTTCGACATATAATACCACCAATATATATATATAAGTGCCCTCATGCATGCACGCTCCTTAGTTTAGTACTCGCTCTACTACGATCGAGTGCATTATTGCATGTTTTTAAATATATAGTGCTCGCTCACACGCTACTTGTGCGGTCGAGATTGGGCAAAAACACGACTTATTTGAGTTTGAAAGGAACGGGTCGAGATTCGGCAAGCACGTAGCTTAATAAATATTGAATGCGAGTGACATTAATTTCTGTCGTTTAGGAAACTATACACAAGACCAATCATTCTTTCTTTTTTTTCTTGTTTTCCAATTATTAAAGAATTTATTAAAGAGGTGAATGTTTAAAGCAAGTACATAGGCCAAAGGCCTATGATATATATTTATACTAATCAATGTGAATAGGTTGAGTACCCAAGAGTCACCCTCACTTAATGGGGTGTTACATCACCATAATGAGGTGTGAATGGAGGGATATTGAGGGGGAGGCCAAAGGCCTCCCTCATCTCATAATACTCCCCCTTATCCATCCATTACCTTGAGTTTAGCTTATGAACACTTCAGGGTTCGTAAAGCTAATGGGGTGGATACTTCTGGATCCAGAGTAAACTTGTTTGCCTCGTTAAAACCTTAGCTGTGGAAAACCCAGTGGGAAAAAACCATCAGCCTAAGGAAAAAGAGTACAACCCATAGGTTACTCCCCCTGAACCATACAAGCTTCAGGCTTGTAGGTCTTTCAGATGTCTCATCCCTATTCCTTTTACAAGTTTTACAAAAGTACATCTAGGCAGAGCCTTAGTGAACAAGTCAGCTAAATTATTACATGATTGGATCTGCTGTACTTTAACTTGCTCCTCCTCTTGAAGATCGTGCGTCCAGAAAAACTTGGGAGATATGTGCTTCGTCTTGTCACCCTTGATGAAGCCAGACTGAAGTTGAGCAACGCAGGCTGCATTGTCTTCAAATATAGTAGTTGGCTCAAGGTCACCAGTCTTCAGGCCGGTAGACACTAAGATGTGCTGAATGACAGAACGAAGCCAAACACATTCTTTGCTGGTTTCATGGATCGCGAGGAGTTCGGAATGGTTGGATGAGATTGCTACAGTGGTTTGCTTGACAGACCTCCAGGAGATGGCCGTACCACCGAATGTAAACACAAATCTGGTTTGTGATTTCTCGGTGTGGGGATCAGACCTGTAACCTGCATCTGAATAACCAATTAAGGTGGGAGACCCACCCTTCGGGAAATATAATCCCAGGTCTATAGACCCTTGGAGGTAGCGCAGAAGATGCTTAACTCCATTCCAGTGGCGCTTTGTGGGCGCTGCACTGTATCTGGCTAGTAGGTTAACTGAAAACGCTATATCGGGACGCGTACAGTTAGCCAGATATAATAGTGCTCCAATGGCACTGAGGTAAGGTACTTCAGGACCTAGCATTTCCTCCCCCTCTTCCAGCGGACGGAAGGGGTCGTTCTTTACATCCAATGATCGAACAACCATTGGTGTACTAAGAGGATGACATTTATCCATTCGGAAATTTTTAAGTAATTTCCGTGTATATGTGGATTGGTGTAACAGGATACCACCCTTAAGGTGTTCGATCTGTAAGCCAAGACAATACTTTGTTTTGCCTAGGTCTTTCATTTCAAAAGTATTCTTAAGGCTTTCAGATATCCTAGCGATCTCTGCAGGAGATCCAATGAGATTTAAGTCGTCGACATAGACGGCGACTATAATGAATCGTGTTCCCGATCTTTTTATAAAGATACACGAGCAGACTTTATCATTTGTGAATCCTTGCATAGCAAGGAACTCACTTAGTCTGTTATATCACATTTTCCCCGATTGCTTAAGACCATATAATGATCTTTGAAGCCTAACAGAATAGACGTCCCGAGGTCTATCTGCTATCTCTAGTGGAATTTTATATCCTTCAGGGAGTTTCATATAGATATCTTTATCTATATTGCCATATAGATATGCAGTCACAACGTCCATGAGCTGCATTTCTAGGCCTTCCAGAGATGAGAGGCTTATTAGGAATCGGAAGGTATTCCCATCCATAACCGGAGAATATGTTTTTTCATAGTCTATTCCCGGTCTTTGGGAAAAACCTTGTGCTACAAGCCGTGCTTTGTAGCGCACAACCTCGTTGTGTTCATTTCTTTTTCTGATGAAGACCCACTTATATCCCACAGGTTTTACACCTTTAGGTGTTTGGACTACTGGTCCAAAGACTTCGCGTTTCAAGAGTGAGTCCAGCTCTACTCCTATTGCCTCGTTCCACTTTGGCCAATCGTCTCTGCGTTTACATTCCGCTAGAGACCGTGGTTCGATGTCATCGTCGTATTCAGTGACGTGAACGGCAATATCGAACGCAAAGTCGTCGTCGACGACTGTGCTTTTTCTGTCCAGTACCTCCTCAGTACGTACAAAATTTAATGATGTTTCTCCTATTTGTTCCTCTTCAGGGGAATCTAGGAGGGGAGAGGAAGCTGGTCTGAGCTCAGTATCCTGTGTTGGGTTCATTTTTATTTCTCCAGGATTTTTTCTTTTACGAGGGACTTTGTCCTTCGAACCTGGTGGGCGTCCTCTTTTCAATTGAGGTACAGCCGTTTCTGCTGCCGGCGGATTGCATCCATCTTTGGGGATGTCAATCCTAGCTGGCGTGTTGACAGCAGGGACGTGTGATCTGACAATCTTCTGGTTATCAGTGAATTTATCCGGAAGTAAATGTACTGTATTCTGAAGATGAAGAATCTTTAGGATCTCATCTTCACATTGACTAGTACGCGGATCATAATGAGACAAAGTCTTGGTGTTCCAAGAAATGGTCTTAGAAGCGTCAGGCTTCCTGGACTGTGTGCCAAGTTTAGGAAATGAATCCTCAACAAATTCACAATCATCAAGACGTGCTTTAAATGCGTCACCCGTCTGGGGTTCAAGGTATCTTATTATAGAGGGCGAATCAAACCCTATATAGATACCCAAACGACGCTGTGGACCCATTTTGGTCCTTTGTGGAGGAGCAATTGGGACGTAAACTGCACAACCAAACACTCTCAAATGTGAGATATTCGGAGGTGCACCATAAGCAAGCTGCATTGGTGACAAAATATGGCCACCAGAGGGCCGTATTCTGATAAGTGATGCTGCATGCAATATTGCATGACCCCAAGCCTCAACAGGCAACTGTGATTGCATCAACAATGGACGAGCAATCCATTGCAATCTCTTAATTAGAGATTCTGCTAACCCGTTCTGGGTGTGAACATGTGCTACAGGATGTTCAACTTCGATGCCAGTTGCTAGGCAATAGTCTTGAAAGACTTGTGAAGTGAATTCTCCCGCATTATCAAGACGTAATTTCTTGATTTGATTATCGGGGAAATGAGCCCGCAACTTAATAATTTGTGCCAATAGCTTTGAAAAAGCTAAGTTGCGGGTGGACAAAAGGCACACGTAAGACCACTTGGTTGATGCATCTATAAGTACCATAAAGTACCTAAATGGTCCACTTGCGGGGTGAATAGGCCCACAAATATCGCCATGTATTCTCTCCAAGAAGCTAGGAGACTCTAATCCCACTTTCAGAAGGGAAGGTCTCGTGATCAGTTTACCTTGAAAACAAGATAGACATGAGTAATCACTCTTCTGAAGAATCTTCAGGTTCTTCAGGTTGTGTCCACTTGATTGGCTCATGATGCGGTGCATCATTGCTGATCCTGGGTGACCCAGTCTGTTATGCCAAAGTTTAAATTTCGTCGAAGAATGGCACTTCTGGTGCACAATCATGTTAGCTTCTACTGGTTGAATATATGTATGATAGAGACCCGACGGGAGTCCCTTGAATCGTTCTAAGATAGTTTTTGAACCATCTTTTTGACGAGTTACATACAAATACTCATCCTCATTTATTTCATTGGTTTCTAAGTGATATCCGTTTAAACGAATATCCTTGAAACTTATGAGGTTTCTATTAGATTTCGGAGAGAATAATGCATCTTTTATTATTAGTCTCGTTTTATTTGGGAGCAATATCATTGCTTCACCAAATCCTTCTATTATATTAGATAGTCCTGAAATCGTAATTACAGGATCGTCATAATCATATAAGCTATTGAAATAGCTTCTTTCGCGAAGGATTGTGTGCGTCGAGGCACTGTCCACAAGGCACTCACACTTCATCTATAACATGAATGCAATATTTTAATCTAAAGAAAATAACTATCTTTATTGAAAAGTAAATTGCATTACATGGAAAGTAAAGAACTAAAGATGAAAGTACTATGAGAATTTAAATGCATATAAAGATAACATGGATCTAGTCGAGAAGATCATCCATTTCGAAGTCATCAGCAGTGAACTGAGTAGACGGCTGCTTTTCCACCAGATTTGTTTCAACAGGAGACTTCTGGCTCGCTAGATACAGATCTTGGAGGTGTCGCGGAGTGCGACAGTTTCTGGACCAATGTCCAGTCATGCCACATCTGTGGCATTTGTCCTCCCAAGTGTTCTTGGGAATGGACGACAGCTCAGTGGTCTTCTTCTTCCACTTCTTCTTTCCCTCACTATTGCTGCTCTGGGGCGGGTTGTTTTTCTGGGGTGGACATCTGGCCTGCCACTTAGGGGCTTTCCCCTTGTTGAATTTACCCTTATGCTTTTTCTTCTGCTTCTGGGAAGAAAACATGTGAGCTTCGGGTAGAGGAGCTGAGCCTGCAGGGCGTAGGTTATGAGTGGCCAAAAGCAATTCTCTGTTTTGCTCCGCCATCAGAAGGGTGGAGTGCAATTCAGAATACTTTTTGAACTTTCGTTCGCGGTACTGTTGCATGAGGATTGCATCCTTCTCGTGGAAGGATGTGTAAGTCTTCTCCAACATGCGTTCCTCCGAAACTTCTTCACCACACAACTTCAGGCGTGAGGTGATATTATGAAGTGCTGAGTTGTACTCAGCTACGGACTTAAAG